AGAATGATAGAATTCATAATAAAAACGCATATTTACAATCAAAACGCACACAACAGACTCACACTAATACTACTATTCTTACAGGTGGAGAATACACACTTCTAACAGAGAGAATATACACTCCTAAAGAAGAGAATAAACACCACAACAAATACAATCGTCCACAAACACTCATTGAACTAACACAACCCTAAACAATAAAAGCTACACTAAAACCTTTCTCAACAGCCTGGCAACAGATCCGAGCCGCTAACATGAGCCATACACTAAAACCTTCCTCAACAGCCTGGCAACAGATCCGAGCCGCTAACATGAGCCAATACCCATTAACGACTTAGAAAAGCAAGACCTCGCCCGAGAGTCGATTACGAAACTCCTATATGCAAAAGGAGTTGGCTAATGACAACCGACTCCCGGTGCCCGAGGCCCGTAAAGGGTCGGAGCCCGCGACTTGTTCATTCTCGAGTTTTATATTATTGCTCTTGAAAAACAAGAAGTAAACGTACAAAAATATACAAAAATGTATTTCTGTAAATTCAGCTAATCAATTCGTTGGAAGACAAAAAATAAAATAAAAAATCAGCTAATCAATTGGAGACAACTAACCATGCCGATAGAATGTTAGATAGAATCAATTGGTGGCCACATTTTGATTCGTTGACAGAAAACTGCCGACCCACTTTTCCCAATGGTGCCTCTGCTAAGCCAAGCGGCCGGCGCCAGAGGAGCCTTACTCTCCACCACCCACCGTTGCTCCCTCAAATCCGCCCGTCCAAACCCTCCTCTTTTCTCCAAACGCCGCCCCAATTTCTCCCTCTCCTCCCGCCGCCTCAAACCCATCTCATTAGCTAACCCACTCGACTCTTCCAACAACCCCACCACCACCTCCTCCTCCACCACCGGCCCTCTTGATAATCAAGCCTCCACCTCTAATAGCTCCATCTCTTTTGTCGGCCAACAAAATGTTCCACTTGAGGGTGTTATTCAGTTCGAGAAACCCAACTCCATTTCCCTTCTATCTAAATGGGGGTGCGCCTCTCTCTCTCTGTTGAATTTTGTTTTTCTTTTGGCTTATGTCTTCAATCCTCCGTTTTCGGTTTTATTTTTGTGAGAATTTAACCTAGGAGTGGATTTGCAGTCCGGTAGCCTTATTAGCTGGAGGAGATGTGGCAGCGTTGCTTTTATTCTCTGCAATCGGAAGGTTTAGCCATGGATTCTCCGTTTTTGACATTGAAACCTTCAGAACTGCCGACCCTTTTATTGCTGGTACATTTTAAACAAACATGTTATTCAAATCATTTATTGTTTTTCCTTTTCTCTCCCTAGTATATGCTGATTTCTTCTTGTCTGGAAGATTACATTTTGGAATCGATTAATGGAGTTTCTCTGTATTTCTTTTTCTTTTTTTTTTCATCTCGAATAATAGGGTGGTTTCTAAGTGCATATTTTCTTGGGGGATATGGAGAAGAAGGCCGAGGAAAGAACGGTCTGTGGAAGGCTGTTCTTGCTGCTGCTAAGTCCTGGTCATTGGGTATTCCGGTAACTCCTTATTCATATCCCTTTAGGCAGAACAAATGAACCCCAGTTAATTTTCTTGCTTGTACTTTTATTGTACATGAGAGCACAGCTACTGATTTTTTTTCTAGTACTTTGTGATCTGTTGTTGCCACTGAGTGAAGCATTAGTGTTGTAATTGATGGATTATGGAATTGTTGATATCTTGTTAAAAATTCCTCGTGTATCCCTCCAATTAAGGCAGGCCAAACATTTCTTGAATGAGCTTCCCTTTGAAAAGTTGGCATGAAGTATTTATTGGCTTATATTGGGTTTCCAAATGAATGCAATTAGTTAGTGTACGAGGCAGGAGAAAGTAATATTACTTTTGTAGAGCTTTATGGAAATCTTCTTTGTAGAATAATTATTATGGAAGCAGGAAGAATGCAAAGAGCCCTGCAAAGTAAGCACCAAGTGTGTACTCTTTTCTTTGAGGTCCAATGGGACTTTTGGGATAGACTGGACTGATTATTCAAGACTTACTCAACTCTATATGCAGCCCACTCTTTACCATCTTTTTTAAAAAACCTCATGGACACCAACAGACTACGATGTGCCAAAGATAAGAACTGAAAATTTTCAGGAATGATCCCTATGAACATCAAAGTTTTTCTTCAGGTGGCATTGTTTATTGATCAAAGTTAATAATCTCCTTAAAGTTGGTTGTTATCTTGGTGTAGGATTTTTCATTTGCATCTCAATCCAAAGATAGCATGTAGTTTCTTTT